GTGTGGAGAGTGAGTACGCGAAAGAAAATACTACAGAAAGCGTACACACCCTTTAAAGCTGATAGCAAGTGGAGCAGAATGTTGCACAGGGAAGGTAAGTCACGACCTTATAAAAGCTCCCCCGGTCGAACTCACTCACTCACTCCTCACCCTTCTGTCTGTCTGTCTGTCTGTGTCTGTCTGTCTGTCTGTCTGTCTGTCTGTCTGTCTGTCTGTCTGTCTGTCTGTCTGTCTGTCTGTCCGTCCGTCTGTCCGTCTGTGTCTGTCTGTCCCCCTCGAATTGTGCTTCTATCTCCTTCAACTTCACATCGCAAAAAAGGAAACGGGATCGGGTTGACAGCTCGCAACAAAACCCGACCAAGTTCCCTTCTTTCTGTTTCTCTGCCCGTCTCGGCCTTTATGTGTCCGCCCGTTTTTCCTCCGCCTCTCCTCCTCTCTCTCCCTCCTTTAAGGACGTCAGATCGATGATGCAGTGCCGCCCAGGACCGACCTTGTGCCGGACCCGCCGCCGGATGGATGGATTTGGGGGGGAGGGGGGGAGGGAAGAAGGGGGAAGGGGGGGGGGAGAGAAGGCGTAACTGACCACGGGAATGGATTCTTTTAATCAATGCTTTCCTTTACCCTTTTCTATACGCCGGCGTAAAAAAAAAATCGAACCCGCATGTGCAATTGGCACAATCAGAACGCCAAAAGAAGGAAAATGAATGGAAAAGACACGCCGTTTCCTGGAAAACGACCGACACTAGCAAGCAAGTCATACACCCCTGCGACCTGCATGCGATTCAGCAGGCTCCGGCGCCCTGGAACTAACTAGCCGCCTGCAATAACACAATGACGGACGGGTTTGTGAGGAGACGGGCGAAAACAAGTGAACGAAGACGAAAGGGAAAGAAACGCGAAAAACAGCACGAGATAAGAAAAGGGGGAGGACGTAGGGAGGACAGTGTCAGAAGAGATAAAGGCAAAACAAAGTTGAAACAGCACCAGTCCAAGTATAAATAAACGAACCTGAGACCCTTACATAACGCCAACATCTTGCCTGAGCCATACTAGTCACTTGGGGTGCGCACGTGAAAAAACTCCCTCTGACGGCCCTCCTCCTCTTGTGTCTGGGCGGTGTTTCCTAGCAACTAGAATGGAAAAGTAAACAATAAAAACAGCAAGGCCAAAGCACAACTATGCGCTTCCGCAGACCGACTCGGAAGCAAAGCAAAGCGCCTGGCCAGCCCGGAGCTCTACGTTCATTTCAGCTTCTTCCTAATCAATATCGCGCCGCAAGGAGGAATCCTGCCATGTCATTCATGTCAGTGTCCTTTGGAACGGCATGCATGCTCGAGGTCGCCCGTTGGTCTACTGCCCTTCAATCGAAGATGCGGCGAGCTCTCTTCGGTAAAATAAAACGCGGAATCTCTCGCGAATCGCTACGCCAAGGACGGGGCCTGGACTGCACGGGCGAAAAATCAGGTTAATTGCACACGGCGAGCAGAACGGGGAGCAGCGGCAACACCCGACATGCTTTTCAACGCGTCATGAGTTGCAGCTTACTTGTACTGCCTACTGCTCTCTTTCCTCGGACATTCTCACCCACGCAATTCATTCTTTCCTGAATGAGGCTGACTAACCATGTGGGCCTACTGCTCCGAATCCCTGCCCGCTGCACCTGCTCTCTGCGTGCGTGCGTCTGTGTAATGGCTGCGGTCCTGCAAGAGGGATTGGCCACGGGAGGGGTAGGGTGAATGGAGGAATATGGGGGAGGGGGGAGGAGATATCACAAAAGGCCATAGTGCGGGCGCGTTTTATTCCCAGTCTCCCGCCGTATACAACTACCGCCTTTCTCATCGCCCGTGAGGGGCGTGGGGGAGGAAAGACAACGATGTGTGTATGAGTGAGAAAAGGGAGGAGGAAGGTGATGCCGAGAAGAACGAGAGACAGAGAGGACGACAAGAGGTAGAGTGTGGATCCAAAAAGACATCGAGGTTGCCCCCCCCCCCCAATTCATTCAGGCAACGGGTATGAAAGGAATGGTGGCCAGAGGTGGGGTAGGGTGAAAGAGGGGAGGAGGGGGGGGACACGTAGTAATTCTACTCTTACTACCACGGCCAAGAGGAGTGTTTGTGGCACGGCTTGCCACTCCCCCAACCCGCACCCATGAAGAAGCGGGGGTGGGATGGGGGAGGGGGGAGACTGATGCTCGTGGGACGCCGGGTACGCACCAGACTTAGGGCATGTGGATAGCTTAAGAATTCCTATAATAAACGGACAGACAGCACAAACTGGCAAACAGATAGGCAGACATATCCATTTATCCCGACGGATAAATGGATATGTATATACATACATAGATAAACAGACAGACTGCGGGATACTTCATGACTCTCCCAACATACCAAGTGTGCATCATGATCAACCTCATTATTTATGTATACAACTGTTTGGAAGGGGGAGGAAGAGAGGGAAGGAAGGGAGAGGGGGGGGGCGAGGACGGGAGGGAAGGAGAGGGAGAGGGAGGGAGGGAGAGGAGAGAGAGAGAGAGAGAGAGAGAGGAGAGAGAGAGAGAGAGAGAGAGAGAGAGAGAGGGAAAGAGGGAAAGAGGGAGAGAGGAGAGAGGAGAGAGAGAGAGAGAGAGAGAGAGAGAGAGAGAGAGAGAGAGAGAGAGAGAGAGAGAGAGAGAGAGAGAGAGAGAGGAGAGAGAGAGAGAGAGAGAGAGAGAGAGAAAGGAGGGAGGGAGAGAGAGAGAGAGAAAGGAGGGAGGGAGGGAGAGAGAGAGAGAGAGAAAGGAGGGAGAGGGGAGCGAGGGGAGAGACCACGTGGCGGAGATATTGTGTAATCTTAAACACTAAAGTCTCCTTTTCTAAATATCCTTTAGCACACAAAGAGACAAATAGTGTGACGTGAGTAAAACGTAGATAGGTATGTTCATCTCTTCTGTCGAAATGATAAACAGATTCAGAAAGCGTCAACACACAATCATTATTATGGTTCTGTCAACGTACCAAATGGCGCAATGCATTTTCTAACATTAAAAGGTCATCTAATAAAACTCCGCCGTTTCCCACTTTTTTCTTTTCCTTTCTCTTTCTATATTTAAAGAAATACATAACATATTAATAATGTACCTTTACGCGATATTTCTAAAGTGTTATATGCATTATTCAGAAATCTTTTATATAAAAAAATACTACTGAATAAGAATAAACATTTCTTTCGACATGACACAAACCGGAAAATGATTAACCTGTTGCACAACGAAAGACAACGGCTTGGAAAGTACTGACCGTTGTCTTTTTAATGACCTTTAAAGAGTGGATGAAAAGGCAGCCACCCACACCCCCAAAACCCTCTCTAAAACCAATGAGATACACAGCTGTTAAAGTTCTCTCCCGACCCCCCTAACAGCCCTGACCCAGATGCAGCAGGCTCTGTCTGGAAGGGACCTAACTGCAACTGCTTGGCGCCCTTGCAACACACATCTGTGCTTGAACGGACAGCTTTCCACTGCGCCTGCATGATGTCAAAGCTGAGCCTAATGCGATCCCCTGTACTAAAGATGTGCCGGCACTATCGTTTTCTCTATGACAAAATATATGGCTTCTCACATCTTACTCAGTACGTGGTTCAAGAATCCCGTTTCTTATGATTGCAATCAAAAGTTCACGATATTCTAACGTTTCACCCACACCAGCTGATCAGTAACCTAATAAAAGAAACCATATCTAAGGGTTTACTTTACTTTGAAGCCGATGCCATTGATTTCGATCTTAGCTCAGCAGTCATTGTATGGGACGCCGACTCCTAAACAACAGATCATGATAAAAGGTCATCAATGTGTATGCTTTACCTTTGACAACGATATCGAGTGGGAGGTGGATGTCGGTCCTCCTCTGCCTGGTACTCTTATAATAATCTTATCTTTTCTCATTTCCTCTTCCTTTGCTGCCTGGTTCTTTCCCTGTTTTGCCTTTAACCACTTTTCCTTCTAAGGGAGAAGGCTCCCCCATCACTCACTCTCTCTCTCTCTCTCTCTCTCTCTCTCTCTCTCTCTCTCTCTCTCTCTCTCTCACACACACACACACACACACACACACACACACACACACACACACACACACACACACACACACACACACACACACACACACACACACACACACACACACAAAAACGGGGGGGGGGGGGGGAGAATCTGGCAAAAAATACTCTCTTCTGCCAATTACACTCCAGACAAGCAACATACAAGCTACAGCCCCCCCCCCCTCTCCCTCCACGCTGACTAGAGAGCGAGAAGTGACGTGTGTCAGTCTGTCTGTCACGTGAACGCAAGTCTTTCCTTCCCTGGTCATTGCCAAGGTCGTGATCCCTGGCCTAAGGTCACAGCCTACAGGGAGGAGTCCATTTAGAGAAATGTTGTGCTGTATTTCAAGAGGATAAGTAGCCTGTTTTCCTCTAGCTTAGCGTTCTAATCGACCTTTAATAAAAACCTATTGTTATAATAAATACTCTTTTACATTCCCTGTGTGCCTGGCTTCCCCCCCCCCCTCCGTCCGTTTTGCCTGTGCTTAACTCTACCGTTTTCAAAATTAGTGGTCTGCATAATACGCATCCGGTATAGGGTAGAATAAAGGGAAATTCGCCCGTGTGCGAGTGACACGCCCTCTCGCCTTTAAAGGGGAAAAGGCAACCCCACCTCCTTATTCCAACCCCCGAAAAAAAAACAGGAATCCCCGTGCGATAATTCTAATCATAATAATTAAAAAATAAAAAACGGAAATCGACCCCAACAAGGCCTGTCACGACCCAGCCCCCCCTGACGCCCTCCCTTCCCTTCCCTCCCTCCCTCCTTTGCCTTCCCTCCCTCCTTTCCCTTCCCTTCCCTCCTCCCCTTCCCTTCCCTTCCTTCCCTCCCCCCTACTCGACGGCGCAGATACTCACTTGAGGCGGATTTCTCCC